GCTCCTCCAGCCAGCCAATGCCGCAATCTCCAACTCACTGTGTTAGGTGTTTTCACAGTAAGGGAAGGATGAAAAAGAAAAGAGAGAAAATGGTTTCTTTTGAGGGGAAAGCAAAATGGCCACCGTTTGGCAGGAAAGGTTAAGAGGGTTGGATGGCTTGGAGCATGCCAAGGTTTAGAGCACCGGTCGGCAACCTGCGGCTCCGGAGCCGCATGTGGCTCTTTGAGCCTTCCCCTGTGCTCCCAGCCTCCTCTGCCATTTGCAGACAGAGACAGAGACAGAGAGAGGCACTTGAGCTTACCTTCTCTCTCTCTCTCTCTCTCTCTCTCTCTCTCTGTGTGTGTAAGTAAAAAGGAGAGTGGACTCACAGTGTTCTCCGAGGAGCTGAAAAGCTTACTGGGCGGCGCTCCTCCCTTTGCTGCATCTCTGCAGGAAGCAGGAAGCAGGAAGGGCAGGAGAGAGCTAGCTAGCCCAGCTATGCTGACTCAGGAATTCTGGGAGTTGAAGTCCATGTGTCATAAAAGAGCCGAGGTTGCCTACCCCTGAGCTTGTTGGAGAACAGCTTGAAGCCAGCTTGCCAGGTGAGCAGAAGATCGGAGAGAGGCAGAGAGAGAGAGAGAGGGAGAGAAAGAGAGAGAGGAAAGAGAGAGGGAGAGGAGAGAGAGGGGGGGAGAGGAAAGAAAGAGAGAGGGAGAGAGGAAAAAGAGAAAGAGGGAGAGGAAAAAGAGAGAGAGAGGAAGAGGAAAGAGAAAGAGAAAAAGAAAGAGGGAGAGAGAGAGGAAAGAGAGAGAGGGAGAGAAAAAAAGAGTGGGGGAAGAGGACTGGCAGACCAAGGGCAGAAAGAGAGAGAGGGAGAGAGAGACACAGAGAGAGACCCTTTTGACATCTAAAATTAAGATAACACTGCATATATCCTTTTTTACCTTTATGAGATATATGTGTGTGTGTGTGTGTGTGTGTAAGTAAAAAAGAGAGTGGTAAAAAAGGATATATGCAGTGTTATCTTCATTTTAGATATCAAAAGGGTTTTGCGGCTCCCAGTGTTTTGTTTTCGGTGGGAAACGGGTCCAAGTGGCTCTTTGAGTGTTTTGGGTTGCCTACCCCTGGTTTAGAGAAATCCCAGAAGGGAGGAAAGATGAAATGGGAGTTCCTTGCCCTGTAACTCCCCCCCAAAATATACTGCGCAGGCGCGCGCGCACACACACACTATATGGAGAGCATCAGTAACAGACTGAACTATTGTGCAGAATCTTCTGTCACTATGCTGCTATAATGCACACATTCTCTTTCCCATGGACAAGATATTTCTATAGAAATATCTTCCCTTCCAAATACGTGCCATTTTCTTATATTTTATCCAATATACATTCATCTATGGTCCGTCTACACATATTGCAATCAAGAGCTAATTGTGTCACTTTACATATTCGTGTATCAGCTGGGAACTGAAATACTACTATTGATTTTTTTTAGTTGCAGTATTCCATTAGTGATGAAAACCTGAAACGAGAATAGATAAAACTTGAAAAATTAAGTTTTTTTTGTCACAGACACTTTTATTAAACCTGAACATTAAAGAACACACACACAAAAAAGCAAAACTCAACTGTTTTTGTCACTTTAGGGAAAAATGTGCACTTCCCCCCTTCCCCAAATGGAGCAAATCAAATTATTACAGATCTGAATTGACCATGTCCAATAACCAGTGGTGGGATTCAAATATGTGAAAAACCGGTTCTCTATGTGGATGCCGCTTCCAGAAGTCCATTCTGGGCCTGGGCAACAAAAAATTAGCTACCGGTTCTGCCTAAGTGGTGTGAACCAGTTGAATCCCACCACTGCCAATAACTACAATTTAGTTTCACTTTCTTTTAGTGTTTTTGGAGTTGCCATGACCAAATGTTGGAAACTGCCATCCCTACTGAAACCAGCTCTTAATGTTCTTATCCAGTCCCAAAATGAAACTAGTTTGAATCCTCTGTTGTTTAGGTCAACATCTCATCTTGTGCCTCTTGCAATGATGGGGACTATTTTAATTTCTGTCATGCAGACACTATCCAAAGGTGCCTCTTGACATCAAATTCTCAGCCTAGTGAAAGCTAGGGGCCACTGTTGCACTGCATGCCAAGCATAGTCCAAGAAACCGTGAATTGAATAGACCATTCATATCTTCTCTGGACTGCAATGGGTACATCTTATCTGAATGCCACAAAAGTGATGCACTATTTTGACGGTGTGCCAAATCACCAGTTCTGATTGTTTTCAATCCAGCAACAGCCTGCGTGCAGTTCAGTTTTTATCTGTAGGTTTCTGCTAAGTTTAACCTAGAGAGCAGGACTGCATAAAATGAGACTTGGAGAAATCTCCCTATCTCTGTTCCGGTTTTTAAAAAAAAATTCAAATAGATCTCAGTAAAAAAGTTTTTCTTCAAAAGACCTAAAACGCTCCTTTGAAAACAAAATGATTAAAGGTTGTTTTGCCTCTTATCCTACATCACCAAGGCTACTAAACACCTTGCTTTGCCTCTGACAGTAAATGCATTTTTTGTTGGCCACAGCTGTTAAGAATGAACATTACGTTACAGAAGCTCAGCATAGGAGATCCAATCAGTTCTACTATTTTAGTTCTCTCTCTCTCTGTGGAACAATCTAGATTCTAGGTTCTAATGAGAAGAACCCAGAAAGCAGCAGCAATTGTTCAATGATGCCAAGAGAACCTCAAGGAAGCATTCATGAAGTCCTTAATCTTCTCATAATTTAGCCCTGCTCTGTTCTTCCCACCATTCACCTCCAAATAACAATACTAATACTAACAACAGCAACAACAATACAGTTGGAAGGGACCTTGGAGGTCTTCTAGCCCAACCCCCTGCTCAGGCAGGAAACCCTATACCATTTCAGACAAATGGTTGTCCAGTCTCTTCTTTAAAACTTCCAGTGTTGGAGCATACACCGCTTCTGGAGGCAGGTTGTTCATCTTCCTATGGCATTCTGTCAAACTTTGCAGTGTTTCCTTCTGTCCCATCAGCATGCCCATCCCCTCAGCCTAGAGGGGAGCCTGAGTCTTTTTTCTTTTTAAAGTCCGGCGTAGGCAGGGTATCTGGAACAACCCTCAGCAACCATTGTTCAATTCAAAGTAAATTGAAATATAAATAAGTAATTATTTGCAAGCAAAATGAATGGTGGATGGCCTCTGATTGGAAGTGTGCACACCTGCCCAGAAAAAAAAGGTAACATTCATTAGCAAAAAGTGTCCTGGAGTACTTGATGAAACAGTAGGGAGAAATTTCAGCCATTTGACTTTAGAGAAAGAGATGTTTGATAGCAGGGATTTTTGTGAACAGGCAAGTCCTGCCACTTGCTTATCCATTCTATGAGTGTTCTTTGCCTCCAAAGGCCAGTTCCATGCTCCACAATGGGAGCCCCCTGGGTGGCTTTAGGCCAGTTATTATTTCTCAGCAACCTTTTCCCCACAACTGTTATTGTGTGTATGTGTGTCGGGGGCGAATGGAGAGCACTATGTACTTTGCTGCCAGTGGATATGCATCTAATGAATAAATAAATAACAGGTGACTAAACAGCAGCAGACCAGAGAAGAAATGGCCAGCAAGAACTTTGAATCAATACATTAAAAATCAGGCTTTTATTTTAATTTCCTTGAATGAATGCTTGTGCCTACAACTTAAGTAGAGTAATTTTGACACGGACTGATTAGACTACTGCAGAGCACCTGCATCGAAGTGCTCAAGTTGAGTGGGGCATTCCTATGACTGACTAAATTGCTGCCCCCCCTCCCCAGTTCTGATTAAGAAACAAAGGAATAGCAATAGCAATAAGACTTAAGTATATACAGCTTCACAGTGCTTTACAGCCCTCTCTAAGCAGTTTACAGAGTCAGCCTATTGCCCCCAACAATCTGGGTCTTCATTTTACCAATCTTGGAAGGATGGAAGGCTGAGTCAACCTTGAGCCAGTGAGAATCGAACTGCTGAACTGCAGGCAGGTGGCAGTCAGAAGTAGCCTGCAGTACTGCCTTCTAACCACTGCGCCATCACGGATCTTGCTGTGAAAAGTCAGAGTTTGAAAAATTCACATGACCAAGAAGGAAGGGATTGTGGGTGGTTAGAATGGAGGAGTCACCAATATTCTGAGCCATTCCCCATCTATTTCTCTCAAAAGGATGCATGGGGAGGACATTTATAGCATATTTTCTCTACAACTTCTGGCCAAATCCAAGCTATTTTTAAACTTGATTTTTCTTTTGTTGGCTTTCCCGACATTTTGTTTCATTTTTGGAATGTTACCCTGAGCTCCTGCATATAAATTGCTTCCAATATTCCATTGGGTTGGAAAGGATTAAAAAAACAAAAAAGCCTTAAGGTAAAGGTTTTCAAGTAGGGGTCATGAGGGAAATCCAGGGGGTGTGAGAAGATGTGAAAAAGATGATTGCTGTACCAAAAAAACCAAACAAACAAACCCCATAATAATTTTCAAATGAAAATCTGATCAACTGGGAAGGCTGAGGGGGGGGGGGAAGGAAGCACCACAACATTTGACAAGTGTGTTGTGGGAAAGATGGGGGATGAATGGTGGGAAGAACAGGGCAGGACTGGATGATCATAAGATTAGTGGCAGATTGTTTGGGATTTGAGGGATGGAGGCCAGATGGGTGTCTTTCCACAAACATAAAATGGGGAACAGATTTAATGGACATTTGGGAGGAGCGAAACTTCCTTAAAAAATCAGAAAAGGAGCTCTATGCCAAAACCCTTTGAAATCGTTAATAAAGAGACACCTACCAGCAAGCTCATCAAGGGCTGAGCATATGCGTGTGTATGATTTATGAACTAGATGTGTAACTGAGAAATAGAAGCACCTTGAAAAGGTAACACAGTGGTTAGAATATAGCAAGTTTAAGAAAGCCAAAAAAGTAGCGTTTTTTTCTCATCACTGAGTATTTATTATATATAACAAATACATGAAAAAGAAAAAACTATATTGTGTGATATAAATAGTTTATTTACATTACAGAAAAAACATCAAGACAATGTATACTATTTCAAATATATCCATACATAATCAAATATAGCTGTAGTACATGTTTCGTTCTGTTTTCATTGGTGTCGATTACCACAAATGCAAGGCAACATGTGTAGAACTTTTGTCTATAATACTGTATTTTGTAAGTCCAAGCTCTCTGCAGTTTACTTTTGCCATTGTGGAAACATGCGCTCTTTTTTAAATTAACCTGGTCGATGCTCTCGTTGTGTTGTCTGAACTGTAGTGCCCTGTGTTTTGCTTTTGCCTGTGAATTCTGTTGCTCCTGGGACATTTCCTGAAAGCAGCAGGGGAAGAGAAAGGAGGGGAAAAAAAGAGGGGGGGAAAAGCATGAAATTTGCTTTGCTAAATGACAGCTGAGAATTGCAGCTATTTAAGGGCAACCGGAGATTCTACCTGTCATTCCAGCTCATCTTCTCTTGACTGCACAGCAACAGAGCTAGTAAAGAAAGGCAACCCCGTGCTTTACCCTGGGGACCCAGCTTTAATTTTGGAGCTTGGAAATGCCAGATCATTTCTCCTAGGACCTGGCTTGCATGTAGAAAGGTCTGGTTTCTCAGCCCCAGTTTATATCTCTTCCTTAAGCAATAGGGGCTTTGCAACCATTGAAAAAGGGAGGTACAAAAAAACATGGAGAACATACTGTCTTTATTTTCAGCCAGCTTGGAGACTATGAAAGAAGAATAAAGATCACCCTCACATTAGCTTTAAGTTGTCAATGCCAATAATAAACCAGCAGGTTGTTCTCCCACCCCCAATTGATAAAAACTGTAACAATGTCCAAGGAGTGCAATGTAAACTATACACATTTTTTAAATCATCAGATGCTCTGCTGGAGGAGTAAAAAAAAAAAACACCCAATACCTTTAGAGGTTAAGAATTATAGATGTCAAAAGAAGTCTTGTATTCCATGTTTAGAGCGTAATATTGTATGGCATTCATTATTTTCAGCTTCTGAGTAGAGCTAGCTATTATCAATGCATCACAGGCCCTAGTCTTTTGAAATGCCATCAGGATCAACCATCAGTTCCCACCATCAAAGAAACATAATTACAGTCTTCTTCTGTGAAGGATTGAAATGGCACAAGTCGTGGCACCATTTTCCATTATCATGGATTGGGAGAATAGCTGCATTCAAAATTACTGTTCTCCCTAAAATCTATTTTTGTTTCAAACACTGCCAGTTTCTTCCTTTGCTACTTCATTTCATATATTCCGAAGAATTTTCTCTTCATATGTGCCTTGATTCGTTGGAATGGGATGTTGTATCAATAAAGTAAGTTGTTGTTATAAAATAAATAAATGAAAATGTGCTAATTATTTTTTAAAAAACCTAGGATTGATCAAATCACTAAATATAAGTAAAAGTATGATAGAGGCTGAGGCATACTGAATTTAAAATGTTATTCAATTATTAATTATGAATTCAATTAATATAGTTATGAATGTTCATTTAACTCATATAATAAGGAATTCAAGTAATAGTGGGTATAAATCAAGATAGCACTGGATTCTTAGGTACAGTAATACAATTATTCCTTAATATTAAGAAATTAGTACTTATTATCTCAAAACTATAACTTACTTCAGAAATCTCAAAAAGGACAGAAACAAATGCTGGCCCCTGATCTTTCTCCCACTTTCAGTCCAATTCCTTTATAAAACATCTACTTATAAACTTTAATAACATTTTAAATATGAACTATTTGAGATTATGCAGTGATTGGGACTCAAAGGGGAAAACCCAAAGATGCGTTTCAAAAGCAATTGGACTTTCTTAGTTTTTTTTTTCCCTTGAAAATGTTTTACTTCTCAAAGCGAAACATTTTCAAGGGAAAAAAAACCTAAGGAAGTCAAGTTGTCTTTTGAAAAGCACCTTTGGGACAACCATGATCTGGATGTTTGAAAATCTCCATAGACATTAAAGGGGAAAAGATAGTTCAGTATGCAAAAGGGCTCAGAGAATACCTGTGGGCCTGTTCTTCAAGAAGTGGTGCCCTTTCTAAGGTTCGGATGGCTGTGCTATGCAATCCCAAACAAAGATGAATGTGGTTCAAGAAGATCCCAACAAAGTGATTTATGCTCATATACAATGCATTCAGAATGTATTCAGACCCCCTTCACTTTTGTCAACTTTGTTATGCTTCAGCCTGATTCTACAGTTGTTGACATTCATTTTTTCCCCTCATTAATCTACACTCAGTGCCCCACAATGACAAAGTGAAAACAGAATTTTAGAAATGTCTGTAAATATATTAAAAAGAAAAAACTGAAATATCACACTGGCATAAGTATTCAGACCCTTCATTCAGTACTTTGTTTAAGCACCTTTGACAGCCTCAAGTCTTTTTGGGTATGACAGGACACACCTGCATTTGGGGGGTTTTCTGCCATTCTTCCTTGCAACTCCTCTCAAGTTCAGTCAGGTTGGATGGCGACCGTCAGAGGACAGCCATTTTCAGATCCCTCCAGAGATGTTCAATAGGGTTCAAGTCAGGGTTCTGGCTGGACCACTCTAGGACATTCACAGAGTTGTCCCTAAGTTACTCCTTGGCTGTGTGCTTAGGATTGTTGTCATGTTGGAAAGTGAACTTTTGGCCCAGTCTGAGGTCCTGAGCACTGTGGAATAGGTTTTCATTGAGAATATCATTGTACTTTGCTCCATTCAGCTTTCCCTCAACCCTGACCAGTCTCCCAGTCCCTGCTGCTGAAAAACACCCCCACAGCATGATGCTGCCACCACCATGCTTCACTATTGGGATGGTATTGGGCAGGTGATGAGCAATGCCTGGTTTCCTCCAGACACAACGTTTAGAATTGAGGCCAAACAGTCTTGTTTCTCACAGTCCTTCAGGTGCTTTTTTGCAAACTCCAAGCAGGCTTTCATGTGTTTTACACTGAGGAGAGGCTTCCATCTAGCCATTCTGCCATAAAGCCCATATTGGTGGAGGGCTGCAGTGATGGCTGTCCTTCTGGAATCTGGATCCAGGATCTCTGGATCAGTCATCGGGTTCTTGGTCATCTCTCTTACTAAGGCCCTTCTCTCCTGATTGCTCAGTTTGACCAGGCGACCAGCTCTTGGAAGAGTCCTGGTTGTGCCAAACTTCTTCCATTTGAGAATTATGGAAACCACTATGCTCTTAGGAACTTTCAGTGCAGCAGAAATTTTACTGTAGTCTATGGTTCTCACAGGTTCTCAAACAAATAATCATCTTAGAGAATGATTTGGAATTTGGACTTAATGAATGTCATTAAAAATAGGTATATCATGTAAGTCCTTTTAAATTGCTTTTAAGAAATCATCAGGAATTGATCCTGAAAAGAATACATACGCAGCACTACACTACACTACATAAATTGTAACCTTTGTAGGTTATATTAAGGGTTAGCATATATTATCACCTTTGGTGGTAATGTATACTTTGTAGTTGAAAGATTTAAAGTTACTGAGAAAAATCACCTATTCACAATGAACCCTGTTAGGCGTTGATTTATTGTCTATATTTCCTAAGGCATATAAATTTATGCATCATAAGAAATGGATTCAATTCCTAATGTTAGTAGCTACATGCATTATCATAAACCACTGAAAAACTAAAACACATCTTTAAGCAGATCAATGATAGCTGGGTTGATATTCTAGTGCAAGAACAAAAAGCTTTGAAAAACTCTACATTTGTTTCAAGTTTGCTCTTTTCTTCTAGCAATATCTTTAACAATGCTTTTCCTACCAGATTATTTTTTCCCCAAACAATTGCTACACTGATAGAAATATTAAATATGGATATTTTTCTTTAATGTCACACATGTTTTGCAATATGTAGCAGAAGGTTTGTGCTATCCAGATAGAATTGTTTCATTGTATACAAGCAGTCTTTAAATTGTGATAATGTGCTTTTGTGAAGTTTGGAGAAGTGGATTTGGAGGGGTGTTTTGCTTGTGCAATGCGGCTATAGGGTGACCTTTGCAAAGTTGAATTATTTGAACAGCCTTTTATATTCATAGGCTTCTGTCTCTCTTTCTCGCTCTTCTTGTTTCAATGTTCATTGCTTTTTTCTGTCTGAATGCTGCATTTTTATTTTTTGTTTTGATTTTTCTTTGGCGACAGAAAAATGAACTTTATGCTCTTTAAGTATCTGAACCTCCACAATAACTTCAGTTTTCAGTTTATGAATATTTATATTAGAGTCTAAATAGGTTTGGGGAAGTTACTGATGCTTATAGTTGAATCTATGTAGCTCATATTACATCTTGACCAATGGGACTTAAGTTCTAAATAAACAGAGCTAGGTTTGTAACCATTGGCATATTTATCTGGAATTATCACTGATACTTGATTTAGCCTACTTTGGAGTAAGGCAAAAATTGTCTTGTTATGGCAAAAATCTTTGTTCTCATTATTTTGTGCTTTGGCTGCTATAGAACCCCCCCCCATGGACAATTATTAGATCTATATGGATTTCGGAGGGAGTTTGGGCTTTGTCTTGTAAGTCTGGTAGACAGTTTAATTGAGGCCTTAGGTGTCTGCCTGGGAAGGCTGGAATGTTCCTGAGTATTCTCCATTCTTTGATCCTATTGGATTCCCTGGTTTGCTGAGGAGCTTCAGGAGATGAAACAACAAAAGAGATGCATAAAGCATGACTGGAGAAAGACAACGACCACATCTGAGAATGTATAAAACGGATTACATTATGGTGATAAGGGGGACATAGCAGTTGTTTTCCACTCATTATATCTGGCATTGGGCCTGTCTGCCTCATGCACTGCCTCTTTCCCATCATTTCTGCCTACCCCATAAGATCCACCAGAGAAGTGGGTACTTCATGTCCCATCCATTAAGTAATATCATCTGAGTCCTCCGGGAGAAGGGCGGGGTATAAATTTAATAAAATCTAAATCTAAAATCTGATATCATCTAGGAAGTGTAGGTTCCTTTTCTGTTGACAATCTCTGAAAGCCAGTTTCCCACCATACCTTTTCAAGCTCTGGATCAGATCAAGGTGGATTATCTGGTGTACAGTGAGTATATCTTCTCCCCTATGATGGTTATTGTTATCTTTACTTGTTTGTTTTTAGGCTTTGTATCTGTTTTTAATCTATACACCATCCAGACTCAGTGTTGCATCAGGTGGCTTTATAAATCTAGATTATAATATCACTGACTAATTCAATAAGATGTACAAAGGTAGCAGGTGAAAAGAGAACATGGATCCACACAATCCCAAGTCCTCTTGTTTCCTCAAGAGATTTTGCATACGGTTTATCAATCTTGGGGTT